GTCCTGAGAGCCAGGGATGGGAAAATATTGTTATTTTCAGACAGTCATATTCTAAACCCACAAGAGCTGAAACACCTGCAGTATCTCCAATGGGAGGCATGCTTCTGCATTCAAGAAGTGTCACACTTTCAAATGTTTTATAGAAAGAGCCCAAGCAGACTTGAAGATGGCCAAAATTGCCTGAAACTGCACTGCCTTTACATCAGCCTTAGATGTGTTTTGTATTATGTTCTGTAGTCATCTAAATTGCTTCAAAATGGAAGATTAATACAGAGTAGCCTGCCTGTGAGCTACTGATCCATGAGAACCGTCCCCAGGCATTTTTTTCCAGGCTTATATTGCCAAATTTTGTAGCAATATAGAAATTCATCATTTCTTTCCTGAATAATTGAATTCTCATTTTAGCTACCTGGGATCATTCTTCATCTGGAATTCACTGACCATTTGTGGAATAATTTGGTCAGTATAACTGACAGCCTTTAATTTTATCATTTACTTACTGGAAAAAAAAACACACAAGTGAAAGAGTAGATGATATCTTTATAGACCACTTTAAAAAAAGGATATGCGAGCTTTCGTGGATTAAGTCCATGTCATCAGGCTTGTACCAGTGTGAAAAACTTAAAGTTCAAAAGTTCTTGGCAAGATGGATTTTATTTTGTATTGACCACACAGTTCCCTTTTATTTCAATGGGGAGGGGAATGATGCACCTGACCTCCAAATATGATTTACATTTGGAGCAACCTGACTGCAAATCATCTCCAAATACTCTGGAGGAAGCTAAAGCCTGTCAGTTAGATCACTGGTTCTTAACCTTGGGTTACTCAGGTGTTTTTGGACTTCAACTCCCAGAAGCCTTCACCACCAGCTGTGCTCGCTGGGTTTCTGGGAGTTGCAGTTCAAAAACACCTGAGTAACAAAGGTTAAGAACCACTGAGTTAGATCAATACAATTTTTTTGTTGTTGTAAACATCATCACTAAAATTCCAAGCAGCAGGAAAAAAATGCTAAAAAAAGGCAAGGCAGGGAATAACAATCCATGTTTCATTGTCCAACTGCAATTTTAATTGGTATGTATTTTTTCTCTCTTGGCAATTATGAAGGTATTTTAGCCCTATAATTCACTAACAGAAGGACAAGCAGAACATGGAACAGTAGTATATTATAAGGAACAAGGTTTCATTGAACAGGTTATTTCAGAGCTTGTAAGAGATAACAACATTCATATTTCTATATGTTAACATTAATGCTAACACATTAGCTAAGATATTTGTTATTTTGATTCAACACTCTGAAGCAATCTGGGGGCTGTTGTTATATTTTAATGTGTTTTCATTTTTAAAAATCATCTTAAATGTATCATTAATTTTCTTGGCAGGGTGTTGGAACATGTGGTGGCTGAGCAGCTCCAGGCTCTCCTGGATGAAACAGGTTATCTAGATCTGTTTCAATTGGGTTTCAGGCCGGGTTATGGGACAGAGACTGCCTTGGTCACTCTGTTTGACAACCTCTGCTGGGAGAGAGACATGGGGAATGTGTCCCTGTTGATTCTCCTGGACATCTCAGTGGTTTTCGACACCATGGAGCATGGAGTCCTTCTGGACAGATTGGCTGGGATGGGAATGGGAGGCACTGTTTTACGGTAGTTCCGCTCCTACCTGGCTGATCGGGTCCAGAAGATGGTGCTGGGGAACAGTAGTTCTGATCCATGGCAGTTGCATCATCGGGTTCCTCAGGGCTCTATACTGTCCCCCATGCTATTCAACATCTACATGAAACTGCTGGGGGAGGTCATTAAGAGGTTTGGGCTGAGGAGTCAGCAATGCGCTGATGACACCCAGCTCTACTCTCATTTTGTACCAATCCAGGTGTGACAGTCACCATTCTGAACTTGTGCCTGGACATGACAATGGACTGGATGAGGGTCAATAAATTGAGGCTCAATCCAAACAAGTTGGAAGTGCTGCTGGTAGGTGTTCCACCAGATAGGTTAAAGAGCCATTTCCCTGCCCTAGATGGGGTTACGCTCCCCCTAAAGGACAGGGTCCACAGCTTGGGGGTGCTCCAGGTGGACTCAGTGTCCAGGGATGCCTTCTTACAGCTGCGGAGAATATATTAACTTTGCCCTTACCTGGATGAGCGGAGCCTGGCAACACATGCACACATGCATTGATAACAACCAGACTGGACTATTGCAATGGGCTATACATGGGGCAGTCTTTCAAGATGGTCTGGTGATGGCAACTGGCACAGAACCAGGCTGTGTGGCTAATAGGTTGTGCTGCCATGTGGACTCATATCACACTGATTCTGAAAAATTTACACTGGCTGCCGGTTGCTGCTTGGGCCCAGTTCAAAGTGCTTACTTTGACATATAAAGCCCTAAACAGCTTAGGGCCTGGTTACCTAAAGGACCGCCTTCTTCCATATGAGCCTGCCCGTCCTCTAAGATCAGGCCAGGAGGCCCTTCTGAAGGTGCCATCCCTGAAAGAGGTGAGGGGGATGGCATGTCGAAATAGGGCCTTTTTGGTTGTTGCCCCCCAACTTTGGAATGCCATCCCTATAGAGATCTGCCTGGTTCCAACGCTTTTTGGCACTAGGCAAAGACCTTTCTTTTTAGCCAGCATTTTAATCAAATAGTATTCTTTAGCTGGCCATATGAGCAGCAGGATTTATTAATGATAAAATGACTTTTAATATAGGATATTATTATAATATTGCCTATTTTTAATGATTTTAAAGTTTTCTAAAGTTTTAATATTGTTGTACGCCACTCAAATCTTGTAAATAAATGAATAAATATCATATGGCATTTTGTCCAGCATATAACAAATAATGAGAATTGCCTTTTTAATCTTATTACAAAGAATGGGGTACAAAAGGTTTAAGAAATACACTGTTCAACAAAATATATTCTTTGTATTGGTAAACCAACCAATCCCTGTCATTTTCTTCTAGTCACTTTTTGTGTTATGCTTCTACAGTTCTTGTAAGACAAGGTGGCCACTGCCATGATAAAAGACTACTTGGGCATTAATGTAACATAATAGGCAGAGTAGTATAATAGGCAGTGGGAAGCTAGGGATTCACATTTTGAGCCATAATGTTTGCTGGGATGATCAGAGATTCATCTCTCTTTTTCTTTCTCCTATTCAATATCTTTCTGTCTGTCTGTATAAATCTAACCAACCTTACAGACTTTTTGAGATGAATAAAATGAGTTGTGGAGGCATTGTAGACAGCTCTGAGCTTCTTGGAGGAAAGATGAAATACAATTTTAGTAAATAAAAATAAAATTTGATCTATAATGGAGTATGTTGTGAAGGAGTAAGAGCAACTCTAATCAATCAAATAAAAATAAGTATATGTATCTTAGGCTGCAACACTGTATATACTGGCTTCAGTTTCACATCGCAGTAAGGAATATATGCTAAGGTGACAGGGCTTGATACCCCATATTCTCCCCCTGCAGTCCTTTGCACAGTCTTAAAAAAAACTGCTAAGCAGGGCTTCCCAGGCTTGTCATCAGGTGCTGAGACCTCATGGGGAAGGCAGAGGGAAGGGGAAATTGCAATCCTACTGGCTCAAATGGTCTGGCATGAGAAAATGTGCATGAGGCTCTGTTCAGTTTGCTACCAATATTGCTCCACGTGAAGCGCTGTGTCTTAAAATGCTGAGAATGCCATATGATTCTTGTTGGTGAGCCAGATCATGGATGCACCAAACAGTAAAAGCTTGAAGTCCTAATTGTGAAGACTGATGAGGACCCAAGACCTTTTTGCTTTGTTTTCTGAGTGATTAGTAGATACAAGAAAACAAGTCGTTTAATTTGACTGGGGAGGAGGTAAAGGAAAAACTTTGATTCTGTGAGGGGGTACCTCTTCCTAGGCTCACAAAGCTAGGAGCTGCACACCATGTGAAAAAACACAACAACCCTGTATTTCCTCTAAGGGCTCTGATCAAGAAAGATGCTTTTCTACACCTCATGTAAATATTCTCACTCAGAAAGTAAGTTCCAGTGAGTTTAGTGGGATGGATGTCTTGTTATGTATGCTTAGAACTGCATCCTTTATAGGGTGGAAATAAAGATATGGATAAATTTGGTGGAAGTACTGGCAAATTGCAGAGGCAGTGTGCACAACAGTGATAACTGAGTCTGGCATTTTTACTGTGAAATGTGAATCCTTATTATTCAAATTAACTCACTACCCTGTTTCCCCGAAAATAAGACCTAACCTGAAAATAAGCCCTAGTATGATTTTTCAGGATGCTCAGAATATAAATCCTACTCCAAAATAAGCCTAGTTAAGTGAAACCCACCCTCCACCATTGTGCAGCAACCAGAAGATGGCATGACTGCATTTGAATAAATGTAGATGGTTCTACATGACAAAATAAAACATCCCCTGAAAATAAGCCCTAATGTGTTTTTTTGGAGCAAAAATAATATAAGACCCTGTCTTATTTTCAGGGAAACAAGGTATGTGAGTTTGATCCATCATGTAGTGGGCTCAACTTGCATGATCGGTTGTTTTAAATCAAGGGTGGGCAAAGGGTGGCCTTCCTGAAATTTCTGGACTGCAACTCCCTGAAACCCTGGCCATCAAGGTCAATGAGGAAGAAGGCAGGATTTGCAGTCCAACCACAGCTGAAGGCTGTATTTTGCCAACCCTGGCTTGAAATGTAGAGGTGGGCAAAGTGGGTACAAATGCAAGCATATAAGATCACAAGGATGCTAAACCAAGGTGACACCTATAATATCTAGACTGGCTCTTAGCCATGGAATATTTGGAGGAGTTCAAAGGTTTCATCTTGCCTCTGGTATTTCAAACATGACAGATCGAACCATAAGCTCTACCTCCTTGTTTAAGGTTAAGGAAATACAACATTTGAACTGATCTTCAACATGTACTGTTGAGGCAGAAGTTTAAAGAATCTGACTAGTAACCTTATAAATGTCTTCCCATTAAAAAATTGGAAAAAAAATCCACCCACGTACCTTGCAATTGAATCTTATTTTCCGGACTCTGTACCAGAACAGAACTGACAGAATCTAAGTTGTCATAGTTACTGCAGCCAAGAGGACCAGTCCGGGTTTCTGTTACCTAGTGAGTAAGGGAATGGAAAACCATTTGCTGTATTATACAGAACAGAATAAGTTACCTTCACAAAACACCAGGAAAAATGCAGCAGCAGAGTTCGTGTGCACAGATACAAGTGGTATAGCACTTTCAGTTCTGCTTGTCAGACTATTATGGATAATTTTGAAACGTAAAAATCTTTTTACAAGGTTGAGCAAATCCTACACCATATGTTTCACTTTCAATGACTCCCCTCCACCATTTTTCACTCTGTCTGCAGGACGCAAAATTAGGATGGGGTTATGTTTTGCCATACAGTGGTGGGTGACGGAAGCTGAAATTCTCCAAATGTGAACTAAAAATTCTCATAAAATGGCATCATAAAATTTTCCTCAGAGAAATCTCAGCTCAGCTAATGCTGCATGAACTTGTAATTATTTCCTTCTTGTGGATGAAGGATGCAATGAACTAAAAAAGGAGGAGTGCAAGGAATAAGGTCCAAACCCATTGCTTCCTTCAGTAATATTAAAATAGTATTTAACAATATTAAAACAGTAACCCCAGTTGCAACTTAGAGGCTGATTACATAGGCATTTAACCCACTGTTTGGTGGACCAAACAGGGGTGGGCTGGTTTGTTCCTAAAGACAGTGATCAGACAACGCGTTTCCTCAAGGAAATCAACCCCCAGAGTAGTCCTCCTTGCACCTTTCTGGCCCCTGTCAGAGGCTTCTACTTTTTCGGTGAGGGTAGGATCATTCTGTTTTGGTCTGTTTCTAGCATGGTGTGATTGCTGGAAATACGGTAAAGCAAGCCTTCCTCTTTTAAGTTACCAATATTGTGACATGGCTTAAGAAGGGAGACACTTCACAATACTGGCCAATTAAACATTTACTTGGCTCATGGAGGAGAAAAGGAAAGGAATTTTTTAAAAAATATGTATTAGGTCACAGAATATGCACTACATCACTTAAAAACCCATATTAAATAAGTATATTAAAGGTATGTGTATTAGGTATGTATATACCAAGGGTGGCTCACGAACAAAGTTAAGAAAATAAGGGGAAAGTAACATAAAACGATATACTATTAAAATACATTTGAATTATAACTGTAAAGCACAATTGAAAGTCAGTTACTAAATACAAAAACAACAACTGCTCACTCCAGTTAAAAACCCTTCCATAGCAAGCAGCTACCACAGGCCTGTCTGAATGAAAATGTCTTCACATCTTGGCAGAGGATGTCATTGCAGTATAATTTTTTTTAAATCACCAGAATCCATCAAATCATATATACATGTGGGAAAGCAGTTTAGGACACACATTTTGTGAATGCTTACTTCTGGTTCCAACTCTACAGCTGGATTGATTGCTATGCCCATGGATCACTCAATGTTCAGAAGGCTTCTGCCCCAACCCTCTCCCAACACACAACAGGGTACAAAGAATTGCAGGGATGGAAAGTATATACACATAAAAAAACAGTCCCTTTGAAGCTAAACCTACTTTGTTAAATCTTAAGGATAGGGGAAAAACCCTTCACTTGCACCAATCAAAAAACCTCAAAATATACATTAATGCACAGCACAAATCTCAATTATTGACAACATATGAATCTCTGTTAAGACCAGAGGAAGCTATTATGTGCTTTCCAGATATTTGATGCTATAGGTCCCACCAGTCCTATGCAATGTAGCCAATAGTCAGACACTACTGGAATTGTACTTTGATATATCTGGAAGGCCCTGGGTTGCCTACTGCTGGTGTAAACTGTAGTGACCTTGGTGTAAGCTGCAGACCTTCTGAAGTTGAGAAGCAGATTAGTAACTGTGGTGCTTACCCTGTGGCCCCTGCTTGTTTCACCAAACACAGAGCTCACACGAGTATCCCAACACGCCCTTTAACAAGCTGCCACCAGTTGGTCGGTTTATCAGCCTATATTTCCTATGAAAGACTGAGGTCCATTCAGTACTGAACTTTTAAAGAGAAACTTTTAAACAGGTTTATTGATTGCAAGTTGTTTTAGGAATAGTTCTTAAGCACATTCTTAAAGTTACACAAAGTTTTAGTATTTTACTCTAACCTCTCCTATCTTAATTAATACAGGTCACACTCTGACTAATCACTCCTTAAACACCCTCTCTGCCTCAAACCTCCCAAACTCCTTTTTTTCCCCTCTGTCTCTGACTCACTCCTCACCCCTGGTTTCTCCAGCTCCGCCTCCCAACAGCTCCCATTGGTGCAGGCCAATACCATTTTATACATATAGGAAGACAGGGTGTTCGCTACATACCTTTCCCCCTTAATAAGTTTGTTCTATGACAGGAAATAAGCTTTGATTATGTTTTCAACCTTCATTTTCTGCTATTGCCAGAAAATGCTTGTTCTAGATGGTTCTGTGTTGCCACACTCTGTAACATGGGACATCATGCAATTTCATTTTACATGAGTGAAACTTCTGATGATTGAGATGGGTAAAAATCCTGCAAAACCTGGAAACTGGGGGGGGGGGTTATGCCCTCTTTCCAGTATTGTGTTTCTTCTAGGGGTTAGCTTGTGTATAAATTCCCAGTATTGACTCAAGTAATACGTGGTGGTGCTGCGGGTTGAACTGCAGAAGCCTCTGTGCTGCAAGTTCAGAAGACCTGCAGGCGTAAGATTGAAGCCACACGATGGAGTGAGCTCCTGTCGCTTGTCCAAGCTCCCGCCAACTTAGCGGTTTGAGAGCATGCAAAATGCAAAATGTGAGTAGATAAATAGGTACCACAGTGGGAAGGTAATGGCGTTCCATGTCTAGTTGTGCTGGCTACGTGACCACGGAAGATTGTCTTTGGACAAACGCTAGCTCTATGGGTTGGAAACGGGGATGAGCACCGCCCCCCAGAGTTGGACATGACTGGACAAATTATCAAGGGGAACATTTACCTTTACCTAATACAGGATTATTTTCACAACATTAAGGTTTAAAGTGGGAAATTCAGATGTTGGGTGAAAAAAGTTAAAATAAATAAAATTAAAATAAACGTTTTTGAATTTGATCATCCTGTCAAAAATAATTTAAAAAATTTGAAAATTTAAATTCTAAAGATATTTAAAGCACTTTAGGCAGTGGAGTCTTCCACAAAATTCTTTTTGCTGCTACTGTTTTTGTTGGGTATTTAATTCGCATATCTGTTTTGGAAAACCTTCATGTTCTGAAATATTGTTTTTTTTACAAAGAAGCTGAAATTATCTTTCAAAAATACATTTCCAATCTGACTTGAAGCTATAGTAATATATGCAAGGAACTTGGATTGGGTTTTTTTTTTGGCTAGGATGAAAAATCTCTTCAACAAACCAAGCAATTTCATTCTACACATATGACACATATAAAATCAAATACAGAAAAGGAAACTGATATCTGTTCTATTTCTCCACTCTTACCTTGTGTGTTTTAATTTTGCCTGTACTAGAAATACAAATGGTATAACTACTCTGAAGGAAAATCACAAAATTTACATTACAAGCAAATCATTTGCAAATGTTTTACCTTACAGCAAATATAAACTTGCAAGATCATTTTTAATGGTTTAAATCAGTGGTTCTTAACCTTTGTTACTCGGGTGCTTTTGAACTGCAACTCCCAGAAACCCCAGTCAGGACAGCTGGTGGTGAAGGCTTCTGGGAGTTGCAGTCCAAAACTCCTGAGTAACCCAAGGTTAAGAACCAGTGGTTTAAATGATTTTAACCACACAATGTATTTTAATCAATTTTATAGTTTACATTTTTTAATGTATAACTTACGGTGATTTAAATTTTATTCTTTTTAGTACTGTTAGCCACCTTGAGTACCCTTATTGGGGAAAAGGTGGCCTACAGATAAGACAAAATAAAATTAATTAAATGTTGAAGAAAACCAAAAGATTAGCCATGGAATCCCTACAAATCCCTTCAAATGGGAGAGGGGGACAGTAGGTCTGCATGATCTCATTGCTCCACCTTAAATGCTTATATCACACCCTACCCTTCTACAGCTGAGCATGTCCTGGAAAGATTTCAAATGATACTGCATCTTTCCAGGACATGCTGTAGGAGAAGGGTGGGATATGAACAAATAGTAGGTCTGCATGATCTCATTGCTCCACCTTAAATGCATTTAAGGTGGAGCAATGAGCTTTTAAGGTGGAGCAATGAGATCATGCAGACCTACTGTTCAATGATACCGTATACTGTATTTGCTGGTGTATAAGACTACTTTTTTGCCCTGAAAAACATGCTTCCAAGTGGGGGGGTTGTCTTATATGCCGGGTGCACTTCAGTTGGGATAGACATAGCTGCCCATAGTGGCCTTCCGATGCTCGCCCGGTGCCCATAGTAGCCTCCCGATGCCTGCCCACCTCATTCTACATACAGTCGAGTATCGTGCGGTATCTAGCACAGCCGCAGCAAGCATCAGCAGTGAGACAGGGGTGCCAGCCTTTTCGACGTGACTGGCCCGTTCTGCTCGGCGGGAAGCAGTGGCACTCCGCCCCACCCCTTTTCTACGCAGAGCTCACACATGCACACTTGCGCACTAGTGCCGGTCACAGGGAGATGCAGGGGCGGGCTGGAGGTGCTGCGGCTGCGCTGCGGCTGTACAATGGTGACAATGAATAGCACCTTTTATTTGGTGTGTGGAAGGTGTGCAGAAGAGGGGGTAGCCTTATACAGCGAGTATATAACAAACTCTATATTTTGAGTGGAAATGTTGGGGGGTCGTCTTATACACCCAGTCGTCTTATACGCTGGCAAATACGGTATGTTTTTCATGTAAGCTTTTTGTTATTCTAATTTCCTTGTTATTTGTCACTGAAGAATGCTCTGTATACTTCTGAGGAACTACTTGCTTATCTGGACATAGTTATAAAACCACTTCACTAGATAAATCAGCACAGTGTGCTTAGACAATACTTACTGTAGAATCACTTGAGCAGAAGATGTTTGCTTCTACAAAAATGAGAAAAATATTAGTGGCTTGATTTGGATGTAAAACTAAACATTGTGT